TTTGGCATGCAACCATATTCCCAGGTTGTTGAATTGGTCATGAAGGAATGTTCATTGAAATTAAGCTCAAAGTCTTTAACTAAGGATAATCTTTCAAGGTTTAGGGAATAGAGTTTCAAAAAGGAAGGCCTTCTATCCTTGGATCTTCTACCATAGGCATCAAAATGATAACAATCACTTAACAAAGTTAGCAAAAATTCCACCATTTTTGTCATCTTCTTTTTTTTTTTTTGGTTTTGTGCAATTTGTGGCAATTTTTAAATATGAATCCTTGGCAAAGGTTTCAAATGGTAAGGATAAGAATTCTCAAGCTTTCTATCATAGGAATGTTTGTTTCAAATTTTGAGATCAATTTCTCTTTGTACATTTCCCTCATTCCCACTCATCCATTATTTTCCTTTCAATCACCTCCCTCACTTCTCAACCCTTACTTTTTCTCAACCCTCGATTTTCTCTATGGGGTTCAACATTGAATTCAAGTTCACTAACAGTGCAACTCGTGGAAGTATAAAATCAAGAACCAAAGAACCATGAATTAAAACATGAAAAACAAAGATTCAAATTGCAATATGAAGGGAGTTTGGAAAATGCAAATAAAGACTAACATGATAGACACATTTCATTCCAAAATGATAGCAATAGGAAAAAAACTCCATTGTTCACTTATTCAAGCCCTCATCAGTAACAGTTCTAAGATCAGCCTTGTTTGAGTGGAACTGTAAGCATCGGTCCCTTCAATATTAAAAGCTGTCTAGGAGTTGATGAAACTTGATTGGTGAGAGTAACTGCAGCCACCTCTTGAACTTCCTCAAAATCCTTCTCGATCATATTGACTGTTGAACTATCGTGTGTTGGTAGGGGGTTTTTAGTGATATTCGGGCCAACAACCTTTTGTTCTGATGCAATTTGTAACTCCTTTGCATCTATCAAATCTTTGATACGGTGCTTTAAAGCAAGACGATTTTCAAGATCATGTCCAACACCTCCACTAAGGTATTCACATCTTGCTTGTGGGTTGTACCATGCTGGAAATGGTGGTTTTACCGGCACCATAGGTATTGGAGTAACAATTCCAGCTTCTACTAATTGTCGAAACACCTCAGTATATGACAGAGGAAGCTTGTCAAAATGTCGTCTCACTTGTTGTGGACGATTAACCCCAGAGGCGTAAATAGTCCTTGGTTGGCTTGTAAAAGTCGTTGATTGATAAGGTGGAGCTTGGAATCGATTGTTGAACTGCCCATGTGACTGATTATTTCTTCTATATGCCTCATAAACTGAGCTTATAGTGCCATTCTCATTCTCCATCTTTTGATTCTGGCCTACTTTCCTTAAACTAGAAGCCCCTGAACTACCATTTTGGTATTGTTCAAGGAGACTCTTCATTGCTTGATAATGAATAATAATCCCTAACTTGATTCCATCTTCCACTTGCTCTCCCACGATAACCAACTGAGTGAAAGTGTAATTTACACAAGTCATCAACTTTTCACGATAAGGCCCTTTAGTTGATTTAATGAATAAATTACTCAGTTCATGGTTAGTTAGTGGCGGTTGAACTCGAACAGCCAATCCACGCCATCTTTGAGCAAATTCCTTAAAGTTTTCACTCGATTTCTTCTCTGTCTTTTGAAGATCTTCTCTACTAGGAGCTAGTGATGTATTGTATTCATAGTGCTTCATAAAATTGTAAGTCAAATCATGCCAACTTTTTACCTTACTTTTGTCTAAAGTAGAGAACCAAGTATCTGCAGGACCTGTCAGACTGTCTTGAAAGTAATGTATCATTAGCTTCTCATCATTGGCATAAGGAGCCATCTTCCTACAATACATCGTCAAGTGGGCATAAGGACAACTAGTGCCATTGTACTTATCAAACTCAGGCAATTTAAACTTATGGGGCAGTTGAATGTTTGGGAAAAAACATAAAGATGAGATGTCAACCGGTTTATTGGTTTGGACACCTTGCATCGATTTTAGTGTTTCCTCCATCAACTGCACCTTTGCTTTAATTGCCTTGTCTTCATCCTCTGTGATTGACTTGACAACTTGAGTCTCTTCTTGATCATTAGACTGGGTTGTAGCAACACCAGCATTTAGAACAAATGGCTTTGTCCCGGAAGTCCCACCATTTGGTGGGCAAGATGACATTGGCTCCTTTCCAAGAGTAGATGTGGCGATAGGAAGACTTGCCACTGGAACATTTCCTTCAAATAAAGGATTTGTTGCCAAAGGTGCCCTTGTGACTAAGGTTGCTTGAAGAGATTGGAAGGAAGCCATCAATTCCTTCAAAGTATTTTCCATATTTTCAACACGATTTTCCAGAGCGACCTCTAAATTAGCTTCGTCAGCCATCTTCCTTACAAGAGCTCTAGTGAGAATAGGTGAACGAACTTTTGGATAATTCCTTTTTGGACCAATCTTTCAACACCTGATGAAATACATGGATTCTTCATTGTCGAGAACTACTTCAGCCACTTGCATGTAAAGGGAAAGGGAAATTGAAATTAGAGCCAAGCAATTGTCACGGTAGTCAAAAACATGAAGAGATTGCCTCTTTCATGATCTTTTAGAATTTTTTTTTTTAAGTAAAAGAAAAATAATGAGGAGATTGCCTCCTTCATATCTTTTCTTCTTTTTATTGAGGAACTTGCTTTTTCTCAACAAATAGAATTCAAGAAAATATGAAATTTGACTTCAAATGCTCAACCTCAACCATTTCAAAATAGATTTCATTGATCAACTTTTGAATTCATTGTTGGGTGACTAAATAATAATTGAAAATATTTTTCAATGGTGAGCACAAATTTAAACTCAGAAAAAAACAAAGCAACGAAGACGCAAGACATAAAATCTTAGGATTGCCCTAACGATTTCCTAGTCCAACTCCACTTGCAAGACATCAACTATTCTACCAACTTTCTTGTCAAACCTCACTTTGTCAAGAATACTTAGACTCTTTCAAGCAGTAACCAAGTCTTTTACACAAGGTCTTTTGGTTTGCATAGAGAATACATCCTTGGGTGACTTGTTCCTCTTGGATAACGGCGGACATTGTAACTCTAAATTCACTCTTTTCCTCTTGTTGATTTTTTTTCAAAGAATTCATGTGTAAAATAATGAATTACCTATTTATTTTAAAAAAAAAAAAGAAAAAAGAAAAAGGAGAGTTAATGAATGTCATACCTCTTGGTCGAATTCCTCATCTAAGAAACACAAAATCATTGTTTAAAAATAAAATACTCCCCACGTGTCCTATGTATAAGGTTCTTAAACTTTGAAGGTGATTTACTAGGCCGGCCATCCTAAGGTTAAGTTTTGTCTAAGTCCATTACATGCGGTTTCCTAGTGGATCCTATACGATTAGGTTTTTTTCAACTGCTAACTTCCATAAGTCAACAATTATTGACTTCCATAAAGTCAACAATTGCCAACTTCTATAGAGTTAACAAGAGACATTTCATGACCTAATACAGCAGCAGCATTATGTTTGTCAGGCCATATTAACCCACAAAATGAACCTAAAAGGGATAAATCTCACTTCAAAAAGAAAGCATTGCGCTTTTCGTTGCTCCATGAGTTATCCATCTATCTAGAGGTCGGGTTCACCTCGTCAATGACAAAAATGAGATGCAAGTGAGGTGTGTGAGGGAGTATACACAAAGTGAACATATGAAAATAATAAAATTTTAAATAAAATAACAAAATAAAAAAACTTACGAAATACTTCATGCCACCTACAAAACAAAAGTTAGTAATTGAAAGCCCCCCCAAAATTAAAGCATAAATGGCTTGACCCTTCAATGTCCCCAGTGGAGTCGTCGAACTGTTGACTTGTCAAAATGGATGGAGTCGCCATCTATCCAAATGAGGTGAGATAGATCACCAAGATCTTCGTAAAAATTAACTAGGTTCGGAGGGTCGGTTAAGCATGGGGAATGTATTAGGCACCCTACAACTTCCATATAAATATGGTTACCACATACTTTAATTTTGGGAAATTTCAATTTTTATGAAAATAATAATAATTACCAAGAACATAAAACAAGAAAAAAAACAAGAAATAAAATAATAAAAAACTTCAAAAAAAAAACCATCGTTGTCCTTTTCCCGTTTCTGTTTTTTTATTTTTTTATTTCTTTTTGTTTCAATTTTTTATTTATCAATAATAGCTACCCCAAAAAAAGTCAGAACAAATACTGTTCATCATCATCCACCTTTTTCCTCTTTCCCGTTTCTTTTGTTTCTTTTTTTTTGTTTTCTGTTTTTTTTTTCCGTTTTTTTTTTTCCGTTTTTGCTTCTTTTCTTTCTTT